CTTCTTTCCATCTCTGGGTGGGTTTCCGGAGGCACGAGTCCAGATATGAGCTTCGAGGGCCTCCCAGGTTGGCCTGCCCTGCCCCAGAGACCCCTTTCTCACTCCCCAGTGGTCCAGAACAAGCTATGGTGGGGGTTTGCTCTGCCCATGCTTGCTTAGGCCTTAAACACATGCTTGCTTTTCCTTGACCTCAGTCTCCTCTCCTGGTTCTCTAGTTCTCAGGGTGGGGGTGGAGAGCCAGAGTGAGTCAGTGGAGAGCCCTCGCCTGGTCTTGGGGCCAGGGTTTAGGGGCTGAGACCCAAGGAGGAGGACCTGGAAATGGAAAATATGAGTCCCACAGCCTTATCTGGGCTGGAAGCAGCTGTCTCCACCCTGCACCCTCCACAGCCCCCACCTCTGGGGGAGGACAGCGGGTCCCTCCATGCAAGCATAGGTGTTTGTTTTCTGGGCAGCCTGAGCCTCGGCAGAGGCCTGTGGGAAATTCCTCCTCCACTGGGGTCAAGAGGACCCAAGGCTCCACTCTCTCTTACCCCCTCTCCACATGAGGCCACCCTAAGAATTTTATACGCAAGGGTGTCTGCAGAGTAGACCCCACAGAAGCCGGTATCTGTACCTTCTGGAGACCTACTTCTAGGTCTGATTAGAGTCAGCTAGAAACGGGGCATGTGTTCAAACTCATGCTTGTGCAACGATATACACTCAAATATTTAATATATGGAAGTATATATATATAGACACGTGACACATATGTGCAAGCATGTGGGCAGTGGGCTGCATAGGACACATTCTGATATCTACATTGAGACATGTTGACATACCTACAAGCAAATGCATTAAAAAACCCTCCTATAAACATGGGTCCTTATAAATGTACACTGCCCCCCTGAAATCTGTGCAGGAGTATAGACTCCTGAACTCCCAAGTCCTTCTTCTACACAGTCACACCCACGCATGCATGTGCAAACACAACACATGCACAGAACCATCCTCAGATACATGGGAAAAAGATGAACATTAAAAATGTGCACCTATGGCCAGGCACAGAGGTTCATACCTGGAATCCCAGCACTTTGGGAGGCAGAGGTGAGAGCATTGCCTGAGCTTGAGGGTTGAGCTGATCCTGGGCACTTTGATGAGACCTCATCTCTACAATAAATAAATAAAAATAGCTGGGTGTGGTGGTGCATGTTTGTAGTTCCAGCTATTTGGAAGGTTAAGGTGAAAGGAGGCTGTGGTAGCTGTGGGTGTGCCACTGTACTCCAGCCTGGGTGACAGAGTGAGACTCCAACTAAAAAAAAAAAAAAAAAAGTACATATGTGTCCAGCAGAGAGTCTACTGGGAATTGGAGTTATCCAGGGGGTAAGAGTCTCCTTGGGAGGAGGGTCCCTCTAGGACTTGAGGGTCCTAGAATTGGTTCCTGCCACTCTGCTTCAGGCAGGCAGAGCTGTGGGAATAGGGCGGAGACCCTTGGTCCCGCCCTTGGGCACTGCCCCGAACTCCAGCTAGAAAGGAGACTTAGGGGCTCCAAGACTGGTCTGCCCTGAGGCCTCTACTCCTGCACAGCCTCCACTGTGTCTTCTAACCCCCTCCTTATCATGCCTCTGGGTTCCTGAACCCAGCAACCTGGCAGGAAAAGATAAATATAAGCCCTGAGTCCCCACCCCTATGAATCTCATAACATGGCAACCGTTTCCAGGGGCAGAGGCTGGATTTCAGGATCTGGGAGGAGGAGCGGGGAATGGATGTTTGCCAGGGATGGAGGGGTTTGGTCCTGGAGTGGACTCTCCTTCGAGGCCTTGTTAGCTAGCTCCCTTTGGGTGCCTGCAGCTGCAGTCTTTGAGGAGTAGGGTACAGCTGGCTGCATGCACCTTCCTAGCTGTGACCCTGATGGCCAGGACTGCTAGCCACTTCAGTCAGTGAGCCTCCATGGGGGTGTAACAGGGCCAAGCAGGGCCTGACCCTCCAACCTGAGCCCTGCCTGGTAGAGGAGCTTGGAGGGATCCCCAAGGAGATGTGACCTTGGAGACAGGCCTGGGAGCCCCCACAGCTCACAATCCCTCTAATGCACCCTCTCTGTAACCCACTTTAGTGGCTGATACCCCATACCCCCAGGTTATAATTTGGGAGTCATCCTTGCATCACTCCCCTCTCTCCCCCATTGTCCATCCATCCAGCTGTCCTATTGGTCCCACTGACTCTAATGAGGCCCCTTCTCCCAGACACTCAATCACCCAATGTCTATTGAGTACTTACTAAAGCCAGTTCCCATACTAGGTGTGGGGATAGACAACCACTGAGATGGATGGCTCTTGTTCTCTGTGGATGGAGTCCAATGTGTGCACGTGTGTGTATATGAGCACCCATGCATGTGGACTGGGGCTGCAGAGAGTAAGGGAGCGGTAACAGGTAGGTGGGCAGAGCACATTCCTGCCATGTCTGGAGGACTGAGCCACCCACTTTTTATGTCCTTTCCCCGCACTGTACACCCTGTGTTTCTTTGGGACCTGGGAGGTCTGGATAGTGTGGGACCTTGAGGGGAGAGGGCTAGAGGCAGGTGGGTACTGCATGGAGAGGGGCTCAGGAGAGAGTCTGTACTGCGGGTGGAGAAGTGGCAGTCCTCAGCACGGAGGTGGCAAGCGCCCCATGGGTGTGGGGGTGAGTGATGCTTCCAAGGGAGGGTGTGTGGGTAAGAGTGGAGGGGCCCATTCAGAGACTGGGAACCTCCTTGGTGAAGGGATGTATAAAAGAACAGTCACTCAGGAAGGTCCCTGGGGAGGAAAAGGCACAGAGGAGACTCAGGGGGGTAAGGAGGAAGAAGTCCTCAGGCTGCTGCCAGAGGGCCAGGTGGGGGGTACTGGAGCAGTTCCAGGGGAGTAGAGCCTCCAGCTACTCTGGGGGGCAGGTAGGAGCTGGCCCAGAGCTGGCTCAATTTGACTGTTGCCCTGGGAGGTAAGCTGGGACCCGCACACAGCAAATGGAAGTACTGCACGGCAACTCTGGGGGTAGGGCCCTGGATTCCACTCCTGTCTCTGCATACTTTGTTGTGCAGTCTTGGGTCAGTCCCTGCCCCTCTCAGGGCCTCGGTTTCCCCACCTCAGGCCTGTGACCTTAACTTTGTGGTTTTGGCCTAGGAAGGACTTGATTTTGTGAGGTGACCGGCAGGGGGACTGGAGAAGGCTTGTCCCACATCCTCCTTTGAGGCTAGAACCAGAACAGAGCAGGGGCTCCGCAGGCAGCAATGGGGGCAGAGTCAGGAGAGGGGAGCTGGCAGCAAAGACGCTGGAGCCCCCAGGACTCAGGGGGAGGGTGGCCTCCACTTGCTTGCTGACATCAGGGCTGGTGAATGTGAGGGAGTTCAGCCAGGCCTGTCAGCCCTCACCTCCCTCGCAGCCTGGTACTGGGCAGAGTGAGCTGGAGGAGAGTGGGGGGAGGGCGTGGGCCTGGGAGCAGAGCCGCAGCCTCCCATGCCTGTAGCCAACTCCTAGGGTGATGCTGGCCCTCCCCCCATCTCCCCCCCAACCTCTTCCTGTGCTCCTGTTCATCTCTCTTTCCCTAGGCTCCTCTCCAGCCACTGACTCAGTGGTCTGACTCCTGAGGAAAATAAGCCAAGGGGGATGGTTTTAATCTTGTACCATCTGCCTTCCCAGAACCTCCAGTGGGCCCCCATCCCTGCCCTTGAAAGAGTCCCTGCCTCAGCCCCAGGAGCTCTGCTATGTCCCCAAGCCACTCCTCCTAGATATTCCCACGGTGGCTCAGGAAGGACCAGGCAGCTAACCTGAGGTTGGAGAGTGTGGATGGAACCTGGGCAGCCAGTCTCTACAATCTATCATCTCTTCCTCCCTCCTAGGGTTCCTGCCCCATGGCCCAGCTGGCCTTTCTTCTCCTGGAAGACGGGAGAAAAGCTGGATTTGGGTTCATGCTCCCCTCATCCCATGCTGCTCATTCAGGTACATGCCCAGATGCACAACAACTATGTGGCCAGGGACCAACCTGCCCAGTTCCTCCCAAGACTTACCCACATGGTCCTTTCTTGGGTCTTGCAAGGAAAGGGACTGAGTTCCTCTGGCTGAGAGCAGGGCTTTTGAACTCCAGGCTCCTGTGGAGGCTGTGAATGCTGTCTGGGGCAAGAGCTGCTGCCGCAGTATCTCTCAAGGTCTCTGTCAAATATTCCACCTGGAGAAAGAATTCAGAGAGCGGTTTGGCTCACCCCGTCCAGGCGGCTACTTGGAACACACACTCACGCACATGCAACATGCACGCCTTTTGGCATTTGACTTTCTCATGAAATAATTGCTGGAAGGCTCCTTGGATTAGGTAACCCAGTGTTCCTTCCTGTTCCCCTTGGGGCAGGGGTGGGGGGAGAGAATCAGCAGTCAGCATCTGTTAGGTTGACCCAGTTCCTTTGGGGGCAGTGAAGGCCAGTCCAGAAGGATTTGTGGGCTCCAAACATCCCTGGAAGCTGAATGTGATAGGAATAGTCTGTCAGACCTCTCGCTCCTGAAGGTCATCTGGCTGTGCCTGTCCAGCTGCTGGGCCTCCCTCAGGTGGGCCAGGACTGGGGAAGAGAAGGCTAATTAGGAAAAGCTTTTTGCACAAAAAAGGATGAGAGAGATGTTCCCATTTTTATCTTCCATCAGTTTGACAACAGATATGCCCATCATCCTATCACCCTAAAGCAACATCTCTTCCCATTCTTCCCTTTTCTTGTGATGGTTGGAGATGGGCTTGGAAGGGAGAACTATCTGGGTTCAGGCATGAAGGAGTGTTGAGAGGGAAGAGAGATTGGAGACCTGGCCTGAGGGTAGAGGCCAGTGACTGAGACTCTTATGGTGGGAGAGGGGGTGATTAGTCCCAAAGCGCCCATTCTAGGGTTTGGAAATTCAGCCCTTTCTTCTTGGTGTGCCTCATCCTCTCCAGGATCCCCTAATAGGGATGCCCTGGTGAGCCTGGAGCCTCTACTGACTACTGGTGGGATGGGCACAGAGATCTTGCTACAGAAGGTAGAACTGGGAGGAGAGAACGCATAATTGCAGACAGGAAGGGGACGCTCCACCTGTCTCCTTCCTGAGGTCTTATACAGGTGCAGGTCCAGGCGAGAGTACCACGGGCGAGTATGTGCGTGTGAGGGCCGTGCCCTTGCGTAGGGACGGCACTGTGGGTCAGGGCGGCAGCTCTGGGAGCTGCTGCTGCTCTCAGGCCTCCCTGAGCAGTTGTGGGGGGGGGTCTCCACTCCCAGTAGAACCTGGGCCCCGCGGCAAGAGCCTCGAGGGAACGCGTAACCCTCGGCTGTGCTCTCCAAAGTCCACTTGGGGACCCGGACCTTTTCCCGGCGGGCCCGCAGTCCCTCCCCAAGGCCACATGCCACTCCTCCAGGGTCGGGAGGTCTCCGACTCCTTACTTTCCACGCGGCTCCGCACCCCGGAGAGGAGAGGGGAGCGAGCTCTTCCTCCGCGTCTCTAGGGTGCCCCATAGCGCACCGGCCCGCTGGTCTCGAGGGGCGGGGGTGTCCCCGAGCAGGCCCCGGTCCCGCCCCCGAGGCTCCGCCCCCCCGCACGGCGCCCTGTCAGGGGGCTTGGGGGC